GTATGTGGTGCTGAGGATCGAACCCGGGCCGCACGCATGCCAGGCGAGCGCGCTACCGCTTGAGCCACATCCCCAGCCCCCCAAACATAGTTCTAATCATTTATTTGGTTTTTAAAAATTCCTGTGCTCTCTATAGTTTTGATATTATAGGATCCTATTTTGGAATAGTATGTTTTCCTCATTATATTTCCTTTTAATTTACTGTAAATACCCATCCCTGAATAATTGTGCTTACTTTTACTCCTCAGCAATGTAGAACATGTTACGTTCCCTCTCCCTTGCCATCCCTGAATGTCACCAAATCTCAAATGCTGCAACATGCTATCCAGTGTGTCTTGGACTTCCTTGGTCATGAAGCCATGGCAAGATCATGTGAATTTGCTCACTTGATCACATTTTGCACTTGTTCTTGGTCACCTGTTAGGTCTGAATCTTATTTTGTATTGTTAATTGTTCCATACTGGTTGGCTGGACTTGTTTATGTTTCTTAGCCACTTATAAAAGTAGCATATTTTTTTTCCAGTTGGTAGAAAGTCTTTCAAACTTATTTGTGATATCCTTCTTCATATGGAAAGTTTTTGTTTTGGTGAAGTGAAATTTATCATGATTTTCATTTATTGATTTTTTTGCATTCTGAGACAATTCTTGCCTAAATTTATAAACTTCTTCTTCTGTATTTTACTCTAAGACTTACATAAAGGCAATTGTGGATTTTGCATTTGGGAATTAGTTCACCTAAAATGCATTTTTATGAAGGATTTAAGATAAAGATTAAATTGAATATTTTCCAAAAGGACAGACAGGAAGGTTATGAGTTATAAGCCCAGCTTAGAGTTCCTCCACCACCCCTCTACTGTGGTGGATGCAGAAGCCTGCTCAGAACAGGACCACTCTGACATATCTGTGAATGGGCTAAGGAAAGAAGACCCATGGGGGCCACTCTTTTCACATCTCAGGAGATCCTCCATTCTCAAGATCTAGGGGTGCAGGCTCATTCCCATTGCCTCTCTAAAAGGCATGCTGTCCAGAGCATCACAAGAGCATAGACGACAAACTGCTATCATCCTCCAGGTTGGCAACAAGAGCATGAAGGCTCCACTATGCTGTGACCTTCTTCCTGTCCTCCAAGTGAGCGGGCTAAGGGGACTCTGAGCAAAGCAAGAGGAAAGCCAGTTTGGAGGGACAGAGCCCTGAATCATGAGCCTAATGTACTTATTAATTGTGGGCAATTATGTCCCCTTTTTGGCCAGTTTTTCCATCCATGAAATGGGAATCATTGTGGTTGTCCCATCCTTGCTGACACATAGGCTGATGTGAAGCAGCAGGAAGGGAGAATGTAACAGGGATCTATACCTGAAGGACCAATTGTCCTGGTTGTGCTCCTGCCAGATCTGGGAGTATGGCAGCATTGGCAGTCACCAGCACATCCTTCCCTATTCAGCCCCAGGTGTCCCTGAGTATGAAGCTGGTATAATTTGGAAATCACAGTGCTGGGTTTCTACAAATTCTCAAGGGGTGTGTATTTTCCTGGTCACCTTCCATCTGAAATTCCTCTTGCCACCAAATGAGTTCATGGAGAAACCTGTGCTGTATCTCTCTTCCCTGAACCTCCCCACTCCACACCCTCAGCACCATGGCCAGGTGTGAGGTGAGCCTTCTGAAGGGGAGGCCACCTAATTGTCCACTGCACTCCTTCAGTTTTTCTTTTCTTTTCTTTTCTTTTTCTTTCTTTCTTTCTTTTTTTTTTTTTTTTTTTTTGTGGTGCTGGGAATTGAACCCAGGGCCTTGTGTATGCAAGGCAAGCACTCTACCAACTGAGTTATATCCCCAGCCCAACTCCTTCAGTTTTTCAAGAAATGCCAAATGATTCTCATGCTTTTTCACAGAGAAGTCTCCTTCTTTCCAGGCCCACTCTCAGCCTCAGCTTCCAACCTCCCACCACTGTATTGGAGATTCTTATCTGAATGAAATGGCTTTC